TATATATATATATATATATATATATATATATATATATATATACATACATACATACAAGGGAATATTACTTGGCCTGAAAAAGAAATGAATTTCTGACACTTGATACAATATGGATGAACCCTGAAGAAATTATGCTAAAGTGAAATAAGTCAGACACAAAAAGACAAATATTGTGTGATTCCACTTATATGAGATACCTAGAATAGTCAAGTTTATAGAAACAGAAAGTATAATAGTAGTTACCAGAGGGTAGGGGAAAGGGGGAATGCCCAGTTACTGTTAGAAGGATACAGAATTTCAGTTTGGGATGATGAAAAAGTTCTGGAGGTGAATAGTGATGATGGTTGCACAACAGTGTGAATGTACTTAATGCCACTGAATTGTACAGTTAAAAATAGTTAAAATGGAGCTTCCCTGGTGGCGCAGTGGTTGAGAGTCCGCCTGCCGATGCAGGGGACACGGGTTCGTGCCCCGGTCTGGGAAGATCCCACACGCCGCGGAGCGGCTGGGCCCGTGAGCCATGGCCGCTGAGCCTGCGCGTCCGGAGCCTGTGCTCCGCAACGGCAGAGAGCACAACAGCGAGAGGCCCGCGTACCGCAAACAAACAAACAAAGTTAAAATGGTAAATTTTATGTTATGTATATTTACCACCAAAAAAACCCAGGTAAGAAAAGCATATATGTTTAAGAAAATGAAAGAAAACAACACACAGATAACAAACTCTTTCCTGACTCCACAACCCCTCCAGGGACCACCCAATTTATTGTGACAGTTCTTGAAGGAGCTGAGCAGACATGCTCTGCTTTCTCACCTCATTCACTTCTGCTATACCCCTAAATGGAAATGGTTCTTAAAAGGGTCACCTGACCTTCATTTTGACACCTCTCAACAATACAACCACTCCACTGTTTTGAGATGCATTTAAAATTTTTTTTGAGATTTCATTTCTTCTAGTTTTTCTCTGCCCTTAATGCTCTTTTCAATTTCCTTTGCTGGCTTCCTCTTCATTACCAGGCCTTTAAATATTTAAGTGCCCAGAACCAAAATTTCTCCATTTAAATTCCCTTCATACTTGATCCCTGGCTTTAAACAACATCTGATACTGTTGACTTCCAACTGTTTATATCCAGCTTTAACCCCATATCCTTCAGACTTATGTAGCACTCAACTGCCTATGAGATATTTACTAGAGTATCTAGCAGACATCTCAAACCTAGTATGTTTAAAAAAGAACTCCCGACTTCCTGCCCCTATGGCACAACAATCCCCATACCTGCTTCTTCCTTACTTGATTTGTGTCTCAATTAATGACACCACCCGTCACTAAGTTGCTTAGACCAAACACTGAAACATCATTCTTAGTATTTTTCTTTCC